ACCGCTCTGCCGGGGGGGCGGGAGAAGGCCACGGCGAAGGCTTCGCCCTTAGGTCCTCCAAGCAGCTCATGTAACACCTGAGAGGCCACGCGGAGGAGCGGGCTCGTGTGCCCAGGCATAAATGGTGACTCCACTTTGGTCCAAAACAAAAAGCTGTAAGTGGAGCAGCACGGCATCGGTTCAAGATCACCCAAAGCCGGGCCTGGCTTGACAGGCTCAGAGACGACCAGCGGTCTGAGCTGCCACCCTTAGGTCCTCCAAGCAGCTCATGTAACACCTGAGAGGCCACGCGGAGGAGCGGGCTCGTGTGCCCAGGCATAAATGGTGACTCCACTTTGGTCCAAAACAAAAAGCTGTAAGTGGAGCAGCACGGCATCGGTTCAAGATCACCCAAAGCCGGGCCTGGCTTGACAGGCTCAGAGACGACCAGCGGTCTGAGCTGCCACTTTTCAAAGATGCTCCAAGAAACAGTGCTTGCTTGCTAGCCCGGAGCAAAGCCCGGACCAGCCATAAGCAGCTGCCAAAGCGGTGGCACAAGAGAGGCTCCGTGCCTCTCCAAAACGCTCACGCAAGGCACGAAAAGATCAGATTCCGCAGCTCCACCCAACCACAGAAACCCTGCAGGGCTGATGGCAACACGGTGCCTTGCACTTACCCAACACTGTCACCGAGATCTGAGGAAGAACGTAACGCCCAGGATGCCTCAGGGGACTAGCAATAGTCGCCTCCCCTCTAGCTGTGTATGCGATAGCTCCACTGGATTTGCTGCTGCAGCAGCCACGTGAAATAAAAGATGACCCCGGAATATTGGCAACATGTCACATGACCACGCAAAGATTCAAGACAACAAGATACAGCCCGGTGAGAAAATTGTGCTAGATCACTTAGACAAATCTCTAAAAGCAGCAGCAATGTCTTTTGTCTGCAGTGCCCAGTGCATGTTGGACATAACGCACAACACCGAGCTCATTTAACTGGGCATGGGAGAATGACGTGGATATAAAGAGTAAAGGTTCCTGTTACTTGACGTGTGGTTTCCCACAGTCACGGGAGATGCCAGGTAAAGACATGTTCCCAAACACAAGCTTTTGTGAAAGTGAAGTTAAGGAGGAAGGGACGTGTCAGTGAACTAGCGCACATGGCTGTGAATGAACACTAGACACGCAGCAGTTCAGAGTCAAGGCTAGCCTGAAAGAAATCCAGACAGCTGAAGGAGTGGACATTCAATGGTAAAGCCACTCACAGCTGTTTCCCACCTGTGGGCCAGCCTGCCACAGTGCACCGCAAGCATGCTCAGCCTGTGCCGGCGCACGCTAGGCTGGGGAGTCCTGTACACATGCTGCTCCGGGACCAGCCCGCAGCGGGAGTGCTGCCGGTCCACCAGCGGGGCACATGGCTGCAGCTGTCCTGCGAGGCCGAGAACTCATCGGCATATGCCCCGGGCCCACCTAGAGAACTGAGCCGCCAGCCGAGAGCGGCAGCAGTGGAAGTGCTGAGGGGAGGTGAAAGTGAAACTGCTTGTTACCCAGCAAGCAGCCTGAGCCACTTCAACCCTGAGCGCTCGCGGCGCCTAAAAGCCAGGCTCCTGCAGGAGCGGACGCGCCCGCCGCCTTCGCCTTCCCTGCAGACGGAGGGAGCTCCGGGAGCTGTGTAGCCTGGCTCTAGAGCCCGGGGGCAGGGAAGTGGCAAGTCTCCCTTTCCCCTGGCTCTTGCAGGGGAGCCTTGTCGCTGCACATGCAGGACCCTCCTGCGGACCTCAGGGTGGGCACAGGAGGCGGCTCCCCCTGGGAAATGCTTCTGCCCTTTGAAGGCCTGTGAAAAGCTCCGGAGCCTTGCCACACGCAGCCCAGGAGGGCAAGTCCCGCTTTGCCTTTGGAAGCCTTGAGAATTTAACCACAGCCCCAGCGGGCTCATGGCCCTCCCCACCCTCTCCCCGTGGACGGGCTACTCAGCAGCCCCTGCCAACGACCCGTATGCGTAGCTAGGCGCGTGATGCTCCAATAAGGCAGAGTGGCCTCCTCGGGGTCACGAGAGGGGTCCAAAGGGTACCCAGTAACCTAAGGCTCCACAGCGTGGAGTACCCAAGACAGCTCCACAGGTTCCCTGGGGTTCTCACACCCGGTGCCTCCTTCGCGCCGTGGAGGCACCTGCTCCCTCCAGCGCCACGCCCTGCAGGTCCTTTCCACAGCTCCGGCGTGCATGCAAGCAGAGCT